GTGACATAGTACAAAAAAAGGTTATCAAGCAAAAAATTCAAGATTTTAGCCTTAGTAATCTCGAGCCATCAAAAATAAAGGATTGGTTCAGCATTTTTAAAACCAATTTTATATTTTGTCAATCATCAACACTCATCAAGATAGAAGCCTAATATTTGGCATGGCGATTACTGTTGGTAGGTAGAACAACCTTACAGAGCCAAATTTGAATGTTCTGTACTGACTTGTGAGCCTTACAGTCCTTGCTATGCTCTACATTCAGGTCTCCAATGTTTTAAGATTTTGTAAAATAAAACAGGCCTAAAACCCCAAATGTGTTCCATAAACAGCAAAAATGCTCCTGTAAAGTTATAGAGAAATGTGTATAAAAGATTGTGTCCAAATGTGAAACAATTCTGACAGTAACTTTCTGAGATCTACTCAATATAGTGTTGCAACCTGGTCAGATAAACAATTCTGAGAAAACTGCAAAGAGAGATAATTTTTGGTGAAGATTTTCCTACATTGCTACCTCTCTTAAATGCGTTTTCCAGCTATTTCTAAGTTTGATAAAGGAATTAGGCTTCTAAAGATGGATCCTTGATATTGATATCTATTAAGATACTCCAAAATCCGAAAACTGATATTTTTTCAAAATATTTACTGATCTGACCAGTGGATCCCCTTAAAGTTTTCAGAATCGCATAATTTTACATTTTTGGGCTCAGTTTGCATAATTTCAGAATTTTTCTTCCATAAAACGACACAGACAGCTTATAAGACCACTAGTCCTCGGCACTTCCTAATTATGTTGCAAATACTGTAAAACTCTTACTAAAACTTTTTTAAAATGTTATTAATACCATAACTCGACTTCAGGTATTCCGTTTATTATATTGCCTTTACAACAATAGTGTAGTGAGTCATAATTTTCATGTCAAGATTTTTTTTTGGGTCCGTTGTCAAGAGTTAATTAACGATGTTTATTTTTTTTTGTGTATGGGCAGTCGAGGGTTAAAAAGCAAGACCAGATGTTTATGGGTTTTTTTTGTGTATGGGCAGTCGAGGGTTAAAAAGCAAGCCCAGATGTTTATTTTTTTGGTGTATGGGCAGTCGAGGGTTAAAAAGCAAGACCAGATGTTTATCTTTGTGTGTATGGGCTGTCGAGGGTTAAAAAGAAAGACCAGATGTTTGTTGTTTTTTTTGTGTATGGGCAGTCGAGGGTTAAAAAACAATACCAGATGTTTATGTATTTATTTTTTTTGTGTATGGGCAGTCGAGGGTTAAAAAACAATACCAGATGTTTATGTATTTATTTTTTTTTGTGTATGGGCAGTCGAGGGTTAAAGAACAATACCAGATGTTTATTTTTTTTGGTGTTTTTTTTCTTCCCTTTCTTCCCTCAGGTCTGCTCTTCAAGCTCCCAAGGAGAAATCTGTACGCTCCGTTGGTGGCGGTGGTGGTGGTGGGGGGGGCATGCTGGAGACCTTTTGGACGTATTTCTCAAAGGGGACAAAGCAGGCTAAACGAGGGAGAAGGAATTAGTTAGAATGAGCGAGAGAAAGAACACAGTTGAAACGGGACGTCGGAAGAGTTTTTTTTTATGCACCCCGCATAATTTAGCAAAATTTCATCATTTTTTGCATAATTTCTGATTATTTTCCTTCCTCATTCTCTTGTTTAACCTAGAATCGCATAATATTACATTTTTTGGGCTCAGTTTGCATAATTTCAGAATTTTTCTTGCATAAAACGACGCGACAAGATAAATAAAAACGGTTTTTTTCCCTTCTCCTGAAAAAATTTAACTGAAGTCACTTATCTGATCTTATCTTGATGGTGGCGAAATATATATATATATATATATATATATATATTTATATATATATATTATGTGTTGCGGAATTGTTGCTGTTTCACTGTTATTTTTTATTTTCTTAGTTGAATGAAGTTCTTCGTTCTGTGAAGTTTACACTTGCTTGGCATACTCATGCATGTTCTTGTTGATGTTGACAGAATAAAACATAAAATTACACACATAAAATGACACGTTGAGATCTTGTCTTTTACTTTGAATTATTGAAAGATTTACACCCTTTTCGATAGACTGACTACTTCATTTTACTTCTAACTAGCAAATTTACGCACTTTTTTTAATGTACTTCTTTACTTTCCTTCTGTTTGTAAATGTAACAAATTTACACCCTTTTTGATACTTCTTTACTTTCTACTGTTACAAATTTACACCCTTTTTGATACTTCTTTACTTTCTACTGTTACAAATTTACACCCTTTTTGATACTTCTTTACTTTCTACTGTTACAAATTTACACCCTTTTTGATACTTCTTTACTTTCTACTGTTACAAATTTACACCCTTTTTGATACTTCTTTACTTTCTACTGTTACAAATTTACACCCTTTTTGATACTTCTTTACTTTCTACTGTTACAAATTTACAACCTTTTTGATACTTCTTTACTTTCTACTGTTACAAATTTACAACCTTTTTGATACTTCTTTACTTTCCCTGTTTGTACAAAAATGTACACTTGCCTTTTGAATTCCCTTTTGTTGTTTTCCTGTCTGTCTTGAGCACTTGGAGAGATTGTGTCGATTTGCTTCACTGTACCAACGTTTCCTCAAAGTCATGTTGTTGTTGTTGTTGTTGTTGTTTGTTGTTTTCAAATCCCTTTAGTTGCGAGCATTTCGCTCTTGGTAGCGCAATGCCTCCCTCAAGTAGCCACATGTCCTTGTCATCTGGTCAACGCCAGAGTAGAGCAGGCTTTGTAAGTCTGTAGGTGTGTGTAGGAGCCTGCGTTGAAGGACTGCCAGATTTAGGCAGTGAAGGAGAAGATGTTCAATGGTCTCTTCGTGGTAGTCACAGTGTCTGCAATGGGGTCCACAAGATCTTAAACATCACAAGAAGAGACAGGCAGAGAATTAATAAAGATAAGACCAACTGTTGGCATGGAGTCTTGGCCGCTTTTTTCATAGAAAGAGAAAACCAGAGTAAAATGGGTTGTCACCTGTTACGAATGCCACCTACCTTGTCAGCCAGCCTTTGGCGCTTAAATGACCAAAGTTGGGTCGATAGTACCTTAAAACACCTACTCAATCAATCAGTCAGCCAGCCTCGAGAGCCTACTATGGCACTAATTAAATTAAGTAATAATAAATAGATAGCATTTGTATAGCGCATATCCCCGCTCAACAGCAGGCTCTATGCGCTTTACACTATATTATTACCCCAGCAGACCATAGAACACTCCGAAACATTCTCAGCTTCCCGGGAAGCATACAGTGCGAGCAGCCGATTAAGCGCTCAAACACTAACAAACTGACAAGATCTTTTGCTGTCTATAGCCGGGTACCCATTCCCACCTGGGTGAAGTGAGGAAAATTCGTGTAAAGTGCCTTTCCCAAGGACACAATGTCGGGTCCCTGACGGGATTCGAACCCACGACCTTACGGTTGCGAGTCCGAGAGCCTAACCACTCCGGCTACAAAAGAAGAGGTAGGTTAAAACTAAAACAATGACGGGGCATCGGGCACAGTTGGACCGACGGATGCGTGATTTCGAGTCTTCTGAGTTCGGCCCATCCGTGTTACACTAACTGTAAGTAGCCATTCGTTTTTATAATCAATTTTGTTTTCAATTTTGTTGTTTTGCGGAGCACACAGTTGACATTGACGTGAATGCATGCTTAGATTCCAGTTGGCAGTTGAAGTTCAAATCATAATTATTCTCGTCTTTCCTTGAATTTTTTTTCTCTTAGTCTTAGGGGCCTAATCTGTCTCAGCCCAGTTTAGTGCAGATTTAGTATTAATAATTTTACGGCACTTGCAAAAGATATAGAAATACACACACACACACACACACACACACACACACACACAATA